GCGCTTCTGACTCACAGCCTGTAAGTACATTTTTTATATTTAAAGAATTTGCCACTGACGATTCAAACGCGAGTTTTGAGCAGAGTAGAGTAGCACTTGTTGGTTGTCGTTTCTCCGATCACAAATGCAGACATGGTTTTGTTTACGCGGCGTAAAAACACAGTATAAGTCATTATAATCAGTAATTATGTCCCCACTGGATGCAACAAATGCCTCGTTTATAATGGGTTTTATTGGATTTCTCTCGTCGTGCCGGGAGACGGCATCACAGTATGGTAAGGGGCGTAACATTTCCGTCACACGCTTGAGGTATTCAGCCAATCACAACGCACTGGATAGCTGGCCAATCAGAGCACACCTCGCTTTTCAGACCGATGAGCTTTGTAAAAATCGACTTCAGAAAGGCGGGGCATAGAGGAGCAACAATAATGTACAGTATGTGGAAAATAATGTGTTTTTTTTACTTTAAACCGCATAAACACATTGCATTACACCAAATACACAACATAAGGTTATTTTTAGCAACATCATATGACCCCTTTAAAAAAGCTAATGAAAAGCACAACAAAATTATTTTTAAATTAAGATGAAAATAGAAAAAAAAATCACATTCAAAATATAAATAAATACTATACTATTATATTAATGATAGAACAATAACTTTGCTTTAAACTGATTATTTCTAACAACTCTTCTGGATGAATCTATTCAGAAATGAATCAGATTCCCCAAAACTGTAATTTAGTATCTGAGATGCGCACAGATGGAAATGTGCAAACATCAGTCGAAACAGAGGACCTATTTAACCTGTGTTGAATTAACATTTTACTTTATTTACTTGTTCTGGATTTATTTAACTGTATTTATACAGGTTCCTGGTCTCACCAGTGAATGTTATTCTAAAGAAAAATGTTTGGCTTCATCATGTTTCATCAAAATGAAACTTCCTCCATGTCTGAAACAACTTTATGTCACATCAGCAATCACACTTACATATTAAGTCCAATTGTCACTATATTTTCTTTTCAAATACGCAGTTTCTGTCCAAAACATGTCACATTGTTCTGCAAAACACCTCACATTTCATCATAATAGAGCTTTTTACGACAGAAGGTCATCCTGAAATGAACCAAAATACATGAAAAATACCTTGTCTGTTTGATGGGGTGGGTGTGTGTGTGTGTGTTAAAGCAGCAGTTGAGCACGCGCTCAAGTTTCCCTGAGTGTACGTGAGGTGAGGGACGACACTAAATCGAGACGCTCGCAGACAGATGTGAATGTTTTCACACACATTTCTCATCGTTCCAGTAAATGTATTTAGCAGACGACTCACCACACACTCCCTACACAACACACACACACACACACATTCTGGAAACATTCGCTAAACCTTCAGTACGGGAGAGACTGGAACACCTGGTCTGATTTAGTCCAAAAAAGTACCAAAGAGTACCATGGAATTACCATGATTCTATATGAACATGCAGCACGGTAACACAAGTATGCAAGTACAAATTTAAGAATAATTAAACACGAAAAATCTGTTGCTGAGCAACTACTTTTGATTAAATTAAAGATTGGGGTCGGCAAGATTTGTTTATGTTTTAAAAGAAGTCTCTCCTGCTGACCACCTGCATTTATCTGATCAAAAATACAGTGAAATACTTTTACAATTTAAAATAACTAACTGTGTAATATTTTAATATACTGTATTTACTGTTCTGTTACTTTTGATCAATTTAATGCATCCTTACTGAATAAAAGCATTACTATTTTTTGTTACACTTTTGCACTGTAGTGTATATTAAAAACTACATTTTCCAAAGTTCTTGTGATTCATATTCATAGATTTATGAAAACACATTTGGTTGTTATGGAAGCTTGTTACCGCCATGGGATGAAAAAATTAAAAAAGGTAATTACAACTTTTTTCCCCTCACAGTTCTGACTTGTGAGGTATAAACTCGGAATTGTGAGGGGGAAAAAATCAGACTTCTGAAGACTTTTGTATATTGCAAATCGGAGATAAAAACTAGACACAAAATTGGTGCTCTTTGGTCACTTTTGACCGAAAAATTTTCTATTTTGAATTTTTAAAAATCACAGCTTCATCGGAATGGTACAACACTTTGTGACTTTTATGGCATTTGCAATGTACACAAAAAAATTTAGGGCATGATTCGAGCAGGCTCAGTGGTTGTAAAAAAAATAGTCATGCTTGTGGTCTTCGGTCAAAAATGACCGACCATAGGAAATGAATGGGAAATCGACAAAAACACAAAAATTCTGAGAATCTTTGTGTGTACAATCTACAAATCTGCCACTATGCAGAAAAAAAGTACACAGCAATGACGGGGTGAAACTCTAAAACATCAAGAGTGTAAAACCAACACACACACACACACACACACACACACACACACACACACACACACAAATATACACACAAAAATGAAAGTCTTTTGAATTTGTGTGTGAGATCAATCCATATCATTGTTCTTTGGAGTCTGAAAAGTTCACATGCAAATCTCCACCCCTTTTATTTTCCTCTGTTCCCTCTCTCTGCTGAGGCCCTGAGTGTTTATGAGGTGGAGAGCGATGGAGCATCGAGTTGGCCTGCTGTCTGTCATAAAGCAGCAATGTCCCACAAATACCACTATACAAATAAACATTCAAAACATAACTGTCCAAATATGGTTAAGCTTACAACTGCACAGATCCTTGAATCTGCTCCATGTATTTGTTTTGCATCAGTTGGGAAATATTTCTGGCTCTTACATTTATAATCATAATCCTGACGATACAAAACAGCATTTAAATTATAAAAAAAAAAGAGTATGTTTTTTGTACTATAAAAGTGGAAACTGCACAACAGCCCACAAGCAATTCCATTCACTCCAAGTCAAGCATCACTATTATAATTGCTCATACTTTGGGTTTTAAGCTTTTGGTGCAAACCTCATCCTCAACCTCATAATACCTCAAATCATGCAGCTATTTACTCCTGTGATGAGGCTTACAATTTTCAATGATGATTGGGTCTATTTATCAATAATTATATTAGCCACTTACATCTTCTTCTTTTGACTAAGCATTCCCTCGTTTCAGAAGTCGCTGGGCATGGGCTCCCCATTGAAGAGGGATTCTGTAGGACCTTCCTCGTCCTTGTTTCTTCACCCCATTTGAAGCCGCAGGTTTTACCTGAGCGTGAGCAGGGGCCCCATTCGCTCCACTCGCCCACTTCACAGTGCACTAAAACACAGTTAACAAGTTAGTGAAGCCACACACGTACAGCACTTTGTCCTGACAGCTGGTGATATGTCAGATTCTAACCTGTCGGGGTGCACTCCATTGAGTCGTTGGGCTCAAACTCGTCTGGGCAGACGTGATGACATTGCCCATGCAGTAAGAAGTGTCCCGGCGCACACCTCGTACACGTGTCACTGTTCTGACAGGAGTCACAGTCTGCAATCAAGAGAGTAAAACCAACACACACACACACACACACACACACACACACACACACACACACACAATTATACACACTCAAATGAATTAGTATGGCTATACTCACATAGCCAAAACGAGTCAGACAACTGAAATCATATCAGATTTAAAGATAAAACATTTCTGTTCATTTTTCTTACACTTTTATAGAATTTTAATGTTTTGTGTAACAAAATTCTTTCTCTGTGTTCAGGTTTGACTGTAGTAATAATAATTCAAAAACTGACGCTTCAAATCAACATTTAAAAAAAGAAAATCTAAACCTTTACAAAAAGTTGTCTTTGAGAATGTCTAAATATATATCTAAACCCACAACTTAATAAAACTAAGTATTTATGTCTAAAAACAATTAGAGAATGTATAGACCTTTTATATAGAGCTATGTAGAAATCTATGGGACAAATCATGGAATCGCAGATGTTTTTCTTATTTTACTCCCACCAGATGGCACTAATCAGGCTTCAAAAATTGGATTTTAAAGCCATTGACTGATTGAAATACTGCATTAATTGAAAAGTAATTTCATAAAAATTTTCATTTTTATTATATTCAATGGGAAGAAATTGATCATAATTATTGCATAAATAATAATTAGTACCATGAAATTATCTCAAAAGAAAAAAAAATATTATAGAACAAAAATATGTTACATTGACTTTATTGGGGGCAAAAAAGGTGACATTTTAGGTGTCCGGTCACTTTTCACCATGAAGATCACAACAGAGAAAAAAGTCAGAACTGTGACAAGATATAAGCTCAATTCTGTGCAGAAAAGTCGTAAACTCAGAACTGCAAAACGTAAACTCAGAATTGAGAGCTCGGAATTGTGAGATGTAAACTCAGACAAAAAAATCTAATTCTTCAGAATTCTATGGTTAAAACTTGTAGCTCTGTTTTTCTTTTCCTGCCATCGAATAATAAAAAAAAAAGTTAATTTTGACTTTTTATGTAATTGATTTTAACATTCCTAATTAAAAAAAGAAAATCTAAACCTTTACAAAAAGTTGTCTTTGAGAATGTCTAAATATATATCTAAACCCACAACTTAATAAAACTAAGTATTTATGTCTAAAAACAATTAGAGAATGTATAGACCTTTTATATAGAGCTATGTAGAAATCTATGGGACAAATCATGGAATCGCAGATGTTTTTCTTATTTTACTCCCACCAGATGGCACTAATCAGGCTTCAAAAATTGGATTTTAAAGCCATTGACTGATTGAAATACTGCATTAATTGAAAAGTAATTTCATAAAAATTTTCATTTTTATTATATTCAATGGGAAGAAATTGATCATAATTATTGCATAAATAATAATTAGTACCATGAAATTATATTAAAATATTATAGAACAAAAATATGTTACATTGACTTTATTGGGGGCAAAAAAGGTGACATTTTAGGTGTCCGGTCACTTTTCACCATGAAGATCACAACAGAGAAAAAAGTCAGAACTGTGACAAGATATAAGCTCAATTCTGTGCAGAAAAGTCGTAAACTCAGAACTGCAAAACGTAAACTCAGAATTGAGAGCTCGGAATTGTGAGATGTAAACTCAGACAAAAAAATCTAATTCTTCAGAATTCTATGGTTAAAACTTGTAGCTCTGTTTTTCTTTTCCTGCCATCGAATAATAAAAAAAAAAGTTAATTTTGACTTTTTATGTAATTGATTTTAACATTCCTAAAAATAAAAAAAAACTCGCTAATGATGCTACAATGCTTTGGGTGGTTGCAAAGGTTTTCTGAGGTGTTTTTAATGTGTTACTATGTGGTTGCTAGGGTATTCTGGGTTGTTGCTTATCTAAATAAATAGAGTCAAGTCTCGAAGACATCAGGCATGAGGTGCGGTGGGGCACATCGTCCCATTCACCCTCTTTCAACCCTCTATTCCCATTTTCATTCCCAAAAAAATAAACGCAAAAAATCCCCAATTTACTCTCAACCTACAGCTAATAAGCCCAACAATCTCTGATCATTACAAAGGCCTTTGAGAAATGCATTGTGCTTCTATCTCAATTAAACTGAATCTATCTTCATGATCAATTCACACACCCCCACCCCATCTTCTGCTCATCGCTGCATACAGCTCCACAACAGCCGGCAGTAATTAATGGACTGAGCATTATCGATGTCGTTTAATCTGCTAATTAGTCGAGTATACGAGGCAAATGGCGTGACAGAGGGTTCTGACCCCTCTTCTGCATGTCAGCCCATCAGAGCCTTAAAATCACACAGCCATGCATGAACTACTGCAAGAGCACACAGCGCTGACACACGGCGTCCGGTTCGGTAATTAAACGATGCTAAATAAAAAGGAAAACTAACAAATACCTAAAAATACAAAAAGTTTACATATGAGAAGTAAAGGAAACTTTCAAAATGTTAACAAGTTACAAAAAAGAACAAGCTCACCAAGAAAAAAATGTTATTGCTCAAAAGTTGCTCATTTAACCATCATGCTGTGTTCGGGTCATTTTGATGCAGAAAGGATTTTCTTTTTCCTGAAAACGCTAGGTATTGCAGTGGACTAAAGCTTACTAAAATTCTACAATTTTGTCAACTTGTTTTCTTTCAATCAGCACATGTTTTGTGTTTATTGATCGTAGGCCTCATTGATCTGAGTTAATGCACTTCAGTTTTTGAGTAAACATTGCCAAAATTATTAACAAATAATGCTATTTTCACTTTGCTGTTGTAAAAACTTGTAATTGTATTTCTTAAATGTACTGAATAAATGTTATTTTATTTGTGTTTGTTTATTCATGTTTAATTTAATGCTCATGTTTTGTTGCTGTTATGAGAACATTTACAGTGCATGTAATTTATTTATTTACTAATTTTATTTATTTATTAAATCTAAAAAACAAATCTGAGAACCAAAAATTTCAATTTGCTCTCCATTTAACTTCACTGCTGTCTAGAAGAAACAACTAGGCTATTAGAAATATCTTATTTGACTTATTAATTAGCTTATTTAGTTTTTTTTACAGTGCTCTGTCAGCTGTTTCTCTAGATGATTCACCTGTTGTTAAAAGGAAAGAACACCATTTTTGCCTTCATTTTTAATGGACTTCTTAAAGCATCTTCCTCCCCTAATAAACGCTGTAAACCGCCCATTAATGATTTACAAATCCTGCAGTTTGCAGCCATCTTCTACGTTAGCTGTCGCAAAAGAATTGTATAATAACGAGTGAGACGGTCATTTTTACTGCGGTGGGCAGGCGTGTTGATAACGCTGTTCAGCAGGTGAGCGGTTTAAAGCCTAACGCTGATGAAGATGATGGATTTGTTGCTCTCTGGAAGCAGCGGGCAGATCCATCGGGGGCCGTCCGATCGTTAACATCCCGTTAGGAGGAAACGTTAGCGACCCCTAAGAGTCCCACTGCAGCATGTGTAAAAACAGAGAGGATCTCAACAGCTCCCCCGTGCCGCTAATAAAACACTATTGTTTAGTTTATATATTATACCACTTTCCACAGCAGGCTACAAAATATGGGCTGAAACCCTTCTTTTTTCAGCAGATGATCAGGCATTTGTTATCAGGAGATGCTTATGTTATTATTAAACTTATTTCCAATAAATAATAATAAAAAGCATTTATCTGATGAATTATTTTATCATTTTTTTTACAGTAACTTTGTTGAATGCAACATGTGAGAAATTTGGATTTTTGGCAATTAAAATAAATTATTTGATTATTTTTTTCTTATTTTGTAATATGAATCAATGAACTGAACATGAATTCAAGAGATCACATTACTGAATATGATTGCGATGGTTATGACACTGCTATATGATTTACATTTTTGGCAAGATCTCCTTAGTTATGGGACAGGCCAAAATCACAATTTGTATACTGCTAAACTCTAATCTAATCTATTCTACTCTAAAATGTACAAGATCTCACAACAACGAAAACATATAAACAAATAAACAATAAATAAAATGATATTTATTTACAACATTTAAATGTAATTACATTACATTTACAACAAAAACGAGCATAATGAGATAATTTCAAATAAACAGAAGACTAAATAAACAAATAATAAAATAAAATAACAAAAAAAAAAATTACATTTAAAACAAAAACATAATTAAACAAATAAAAACAAACTCGTAAGTAAATAAAATTACATTTAAAAGTTCCTCAAAAACATGATCATTAGGTTAAACGTAAACAGAAGAAAAAATGAAATAAATAAATCAATCAAATTAATAAATACGTTTAAAAAATACAATTACATAAAAAAGATAATTTTTTCCCTTATTTTTTCCTTATTTTTTAAAATGATGAGACATCAAAGTGTGCCCTATTTGCAGACAATGCCACCTCTTTTCATACAGCATAAAACACATGGATTAAAAAAGAAAAAGCGATGTAAGAAAATTCTTATGAAAAGAGTGTAAGAGTCTTAATGGGCTTTTTGCTCTTGGGCTGATCCACAAGGGGCCAATTATCTGCTTTCCCCTCGTCAAACCCTCTGACCCCACACACGCACCCAGAGCAACAAACAAATACTCTCCACATGCTGTCATCACCTTAATAAGCACTTATGCTTAATTATATTCCTCTTAAAGTAAGTTAGTTCGTTTACATTTCACGACAAAACGGGCAAGTTCATATTAGCGTTAGTCACAGCTTCAATGCTAATCAAGTGAAGTTGTGTTTTGCATGTGTGTTTAAGCTTATCTAAATGTAGACGCACCGCAAGCTACAACAATCGCACCCTTTGACCTCCAGTCATTAGAGCCGCGGTTCAGTGGTTCAGATGGGGTCAAAGGTCGCTGCACTTGACACTGGAGCCTCTGGCCTGGTTGTAGCTGGTAAAGACCCCACACACACGACATCTTAAAGTAAAACCACCAGAATGTTAACAAGCGTTGGGTTTTTCCTCATGAACACAGGTCATGTCTGTGTCAAGATTGTTGTTGAGTTGTGAAA